GAAACCCTGTCTCTACTAAAAAATAGAAAAAATTAGCCGGGCGTGGTGGCAGGCGCCTGTAGTCCCAGCTACTCGGTAGGCTGAGGCAGGAGAATGGCGCGAATCCGGGAGGTGGAGCTTGCAGTGAGCCAAAATCTTGCCAATGCATTCCAGCCTGGGCGACAGAGCGAGACTTCGTCTCAAAAAAAAATTTTAAAAAGGAATTCTGGTTAGCAGTGGTAAGCAAAAGCAATGTCGTTTGACTTTGAAACACCAACTAGTCAAAATAGTAAATCTAACTTCCACAGTTTGTTCATTCATTCATGATAAACATAAAGCTTATAGTTCCTCTTCTTGCTATAAAGGAGTATTTTCATTTTGGGTTTCAAAGCAGTGAGTATTGATTCTGAGAAGTTTATTATTGCAAAAGACATTTTGGTCTGCTAGTTGTTACATTTTTGTTTTCGAAGAAAATCTCTGTGTTCTAATTAACTCACTAACAATAAAATCACAACAACTGGTTTAAGGAGGCCACACAAACATTTCCCCAGACCCAAATTCTATACCATTTCAATGAAATTCCACACAATAGGAAAATCTTCTTCCATTGCAATTCTGAAACAAGAAAGCTATGAATGACAGAGGAAAGGTTTAAATGATGGTTTTACATTTTATACCTTCACTATCAATTATACTTTTATGCTAAATTTACTTGATCATGAGAGCTAGTTTTCCATTTCTTCAATTTGCGCTTTTTGATTAGGCTAATCTCCCTATGTCTCTGCACATCTTCCTTCTATGCACGTCTCTATGTTTGAATTTCCCCTTTTTATAAGGACAACAGTCAGATTGCATTAGGGCTCATCCTAATTAACTTCATTTCAATTTGATTACCTCTGGGGTGTTAAGACATCAACAGGTGAATTTGGGAACACAATTCAACCTGTAACAGAAAGCTTTTCAGTTTTTGCATTCTACACTTCTCAATTGCTTGTTCCTCACTTCAGAGTGGGAGGAAACAGTATAGACTGTACAAAGAAACTACCTGTGCAGTTCTTCCCAGTTGTGTGGACCTCTTCCTTTTTTATGGTCACTGCAACTTTACTGTCTGTGTAGCATGCTGAGCAGATCCTACTTGTTAAAGAGCTTTCAAGAGGTGAAAACCCCCTCACTTTGAAAGTCTGTTTATCATGTTCATAATGAAACATAAGAATAACTTCTGAGAAAGTTTTGATATGTGAGATCCAGATTTTAAACTTTTGACATTATACATCACCAGTCTCAGGAAGGTCTGTCCTCTGTAGTAATGCTTGTGAAAACACAGGATGTATTCCAAAAACAAATTTGTCAGAAAATTTTTTGAATAATGTAAAAATAATACAAGAGACATAGGCTATTATTCATGGACATTAGGAAAAGGGGGGAGGATCATGGAATATGAATGGAAGTAACAGCATATGTGTAAGAAACCAACAAAAATCTTGAGGTAGGCTGGGTGCAGTGGCTTACGCCCATAATCCACTGTCAGAGGCGTGTAAACCGGAGCAACTCTATCTTGACTAGGAGCTGGGTAAAATAAGGCTAAAACCTATGGGACTGAATTCCCAGACAGTTAAGGCATTCTAAGTCACAGGATGAGATAGAAGGTTGACACAAAATACAGGTCATAAAGACAGTGATAATAAAACAGGTTGCAATAAAGAAGCCACCAAAATCAAGATGGTGACGAGAGTGACCTCTGGTTGTCCTCACTGCTACACTTCCACCAGCACCATGACAGTTTACAAATGCCATGGCATCGACAGGAAGTTACCCTATATGATCTAAAAAGGGGAGACATGAATAATCCACCCCTTGTTTAGCATATAATAAAGAAATAACCATAAAAATGGTCAACCATTAGCCCTCAGGGCTACTGTGTCTGTGGAGTAGCCGTTTCTTAATTCCTTTACTTTCTTAATAAACTTGCTTTTAACTTTATGGACTCACACTGAATTCTTTCTTAAGAAAGAAAACAGCTGAGGTCAGGAGGTTGAGACCAGCCTAGCTAACATGGTGAAACCCCATCTCTACTAAAAATACAAAAATTAGCCGGGTTTGGTAGCACCCACATGTAATCCCAGCTACTCGGGAGGCTGAGGCAGGAGAATCGCTTGAACCCAGGAGGTGGAGGTTGCAGTGAGTTGAGCTTGTACCACTGTACTCCAGCCTAGGTGACAGAGGAAGATTCCATCTCAAAAAAAAAAAAAAAAAAAAAGGGAGAAAGAAAAGAAAAAAGGAAAATACTGAGGTAGTTCAATATTTAAGCAAAATACAAATTTATGAAAAATGATCAAGTATTAGCAAAGACAAAATATGGCTTAATTTTTTCATTGTGAAGTGTCATAATGACTAAGTTAATCTATATTCTGAAAGCAAATGGACAAGAGTTTTCGTTCATTTTGTTCACTTACTTGTTTTAATGCTGGGGCTGTGTAATTCCTATAGAATAAGATATGAAGAACTGTTACAACCATGAAGCTCTGGCTACTGCTTTTGCTGTGTGCATTACAGTCCTTGTCTCTGACCCAGGAATCTCATAGAATAAGGCTAATCGATTCAATATATTCTTGTTTTCTTTCTTTTTTTTAAGACAAAGTGTCACTCTGTCACCCAGGCTAGAATGCAGTGGTGCAATCACGGCTCACTGTAGCCTCGACCTTCTCAGCTCAAGCACTCCTCCCATTTCAGCCAACGGAGTAGCTGGGATTACAGATATGTGTCACCACACCTGGCTGATTTTTGTATTTTTAGTTGAGATAGGGTTTCAT